CCCCTCCCTCTGCTTCCCCAACTTCGACTAGCTCTGCTTCTACGCCTCCAACTGTGTCGGCACCCTCATCTGTTTCTTCTTCAAACAACAATGCTCCAGTCGTGCTTGGAGCGACTCCCGCCTCTAACTCCACTGTCGTAAGCCATCAAGCTTTCTCGTCCTTGGCTGACTCCGCTTCGGGTTTAGGTCGCTGAAAAACTCGTGATTCCGCTGGTCAATCCTTTGTAAGTAAATCTCACGTCGACTTGAAGAACACTTCATCAAGACATTGTATTCGGCGCCGCGGTGGGTCCTCCCGCTAGGAGTGAAGGGCTCAAAGGTCAGTGATTGTTTTTTATATAATTGAGGTTGCTCCTGGAATATTATCCAGCGGTGACGACGCCGGTAGCGGGTCCGTCGACAGCGAAGAAGGGCAAGAAGCGGGTTAATAGGGATTCTTTGAGCCCAGCGTACGTTCCAATTCCAGGCAACTTATCTCTGATTTTACATTCAGATCACTATTCTATCAAGATTACTTGAAGACTCACGACGCAGTCCCCTCGTCAGGAAAAAGGGATCTGATCCATAGCTGCCGCTTAGATCCCAGAGCCGCTGTAGATGTGGTAGCAGTCCGCGGCGCTTGATAGCGATTGATAGTCTACATATCCTTGGCACCGGACCTGGTAGTGCCGATATCCATGGCATGCGGATCAGTAGCCGCCCATAGGCGATGATAATCACTGTGATATCACCTCATCGGAAACTGCTCCACATGAAGCTCAGAACATCCATGCACCAAAGAAAGTCTGCCTGTATTCAAGTTCAATCAGTATTGAGTCCAAAACTGTGAGTTGCTTCAAGGGAAGAACCTGCAAGGAACTTGATGAAAATTGCTAAGTCCACGCGGCACGTGGATCAATGAGGCTCTCAAGAATTCGACAAGATCTTTGCGGATTTATCTGAGGAAGATCGCCTGGTTTGTACACCTCTTCCTCGTCCCTTTCTGACTGTCTAATATATCGCAAGAAATGGACCCGTCTCAGTACTGAACGTAACAAAGCCAAGAAGGCCGCAAAACAGTCAGCGGCTGGCGCCGCGACCCCGCTGAAGAAGCGCGCACACCCCGTCCACCCGCCTCAGCCACCAGCTCCGGTTCCGCCCCCTCCAGCGGCCAGTGCTCAGCCGCACCCAGGTGCCGCTACACAGCCAAGGAAGTCTGGGGTGCGATTTGCACCACAGGAGTCTTCCTACCCCGCCTCTCACTCCCTACCCCATAACCCTGCCACCATCTCTATTCCTACGCAGGTAATGGCGTCCCCAATTCCTACTCCCCGCCCCAGCTCTACTCCTTATGCCCCCTCGGTGGCCATGTCCACTGCCGTCCCGTCCCCCTCTCCACGTTCAGTAGCTCCTTCGCCTATGGCCATTGATGCTATTCGACCTGAAAGGGGACGTCGACAACAGACGGCACGGCGAGGCGGTGCAGTGTCTGCGTCTGATACGCGGATTGACTCCCAGGGCAACCTACTCTTCCGTGGCGATCCAGGATTTTGAAAGATCGTTCATTCTACTGGGCTTTGGTCTTCGTCGAGGCGACGAATCTTGAAGAGGGGGTGATGTCAGGGGACTCCACAGCTATGACTTGGGCAGAAGTTCTCTGTCTCCAAGACATCATGCTGTGCTCACTTATGTCATATCTTATGTCACCTCTTGTATATAAGTAGTCCGCTGGGGATCTCTGATCCCCAGGTTTGTTATCGACTTGGCTCCTGGGCCCTTCTCCCCTTACAACGACCCGGCGCTGCTCATGAACGGGGAGGGAGTCGACACGGCGAAGCTCACCCAGAGAAAAGTTTGCCAGAATATCTGCAGTGGTTGCAGCGTGCTCGGACGGTGTGGCAGGCAGATTCCGTGAGAAGGCGCGGCCCACTCGGGGGCTGGTGTACATATCCAATTGACGCACCATAGGTACAGATATTATGTAGGTGTTGTACGAAGGAGGGATCAGGATAATCCTGAAGTAAGAAAGATAGCATAGCGGGATTAAGGGAGCTAGTAACACGAGGACCGGGGGTAGGGGCAACTGGGAATGTGATGTGTGTATTAGGACGGGCAGGGGGAGGAGGCATTAGATGGGCAGAGAGATGAGCAGTATGCAAGAGGGGTGATAGAGAGGGTGGGGTGCGAGGAGCCAGTGGACGAAGGAACCGAAGGGTTGGTCGGAGTGGGGCAGAGTGTAAGGGCAACCTTTAGGACCCGAGATGTCTCGAGGGTCTTGCGAGGGAGAATCCAAAGTTAATTAAAGACGCTACTAGGAATACATTACAGCGCACCTAGCGAGGGAGAATCCAAAGAGAAGAAAGGCTAAGGATTCCCACGATAGGTTAACTAACTAATTCCCACAAGGCCGGGTCAACCGGCAATAGTCCCTGGCCCGATCACATGCTAAGTCCCGCCTTGATGACGTAGTTGGACTGGGATCTTGTGTACCCAAAAGTAGAACTCTGTCATAGTTTGATGGAGCTCCACAGGAATAATGTAATGGGACTTGGGCAGCCCTTTGCGTCATGCTGCGCAGAACAGGGGTTCCCCTGACATCACCCCCCCCTTGGAATGCAGCGCCTCGACGCATAGATCACACCTGAGCTGGAGTCGACGAGCGGTCACGGAAGGGAAGGGAATCGAAGGCAGCGACAGCAATGGAGCGAGGTTTGGAAGGGTATTTGCGGTAGAAAGCAGCGACAGCGTCCGGGGCAAAGACATTAGAGTGCTTTACCCATTGATCATGGGACGGGTCATAACCCTTCCAGCGAACAAAGTACCATAGACTCCCATAGCGGATCTTGGCATCCAATATCTCCTCGACCTCCCATTGCTTATCGCCAGGAACGTCAAGGACTGGTGGCGGCTCTTCGTGTCTGGGGCGAGTGGGGAATGGATCGGCTTTGTCAGGGGAACCCCTGTTCTGCGCAGCATGACGCAAAGGGACTTGGGCACTTCTGCCCAAGTCCCATTACATCATTCCTGTGGAGCTCCATCAAACTATGACAGAGTTCTATTTTTGGGTACACAAGATCCCAGTCCAACTACGTCATCAAGGTGGGACTTAGCATGTGATCGAGCCAGGGACTATTGCCGGTTGACCCGGCCTTGTGGGAATTAGTTAGTATATGTTTGCCACACCTAGCGTGGGAATCCTTAGCCTTTCTTCTCTTTGGATTCTCCCTCGCTAGGTGCGCTGTAATGTATTCCTAGTAGCGTCTTTAATTAACTTTGGATTCTCCCTCGCTAGACCCTCGAGACATCTCGGGTCCTAAAGGTTGCCCTTACAGGCTTCCACAAGCTCAAGTTTCACGACAGGGAAGACAGGGTGGAGGGCAGAGTACTGGGGGGGCAGCTCCAGTTTGAAGGCACCATTACCAACGACCTTCAGAACCTTGAAGGGTGAGTCCTCAGTTCTCACCGTTGACTTCAGGCAAGTATTTACTTCACATTGCTAGAGTTCTCACTGTTGACTTCAGACCTCTGTGCTTGCCTGTTCAACAGGTTATGGGCCCCGGCCTTTGAACATCTCCTGAGTTTATCATCCTGAAATCTCATCCCTCTGCGCTCTTCACTCTCTTTGCCCTTATAGTGTGTGTGTTTAAGTCTTGTAGTTAGGAACACCAACTGTTAGGACAAATCCTCTTTGAGAGGTAGTCTTTGATCCACCAGAAAACAAATGGTTGTCAGGGGACTCCACAGCTATGACGTCTTCTGACTTGGGCAGAAGTTCTCTGTCTCCAAGACATCATGCTGTGCTCACTTATGTCATATCTTACGTCACCTCTTGTATATAAGTAGTCCGCTGGGGATCTCTGATCCCCAGGTTTGTTATCGACTTGGCTCCTGGGCCCTTCTCCCCTTACAGGTGGGAGAACTTCACCGAAGGGCGGGTGGTGCGGATATCTGAAGCATCAACCCACACCCGGTCACCAACCTTGATATCTGGAGCTGGCGTCCGTCGGCGGTCATAGTACTGCTTGTACTCTGCCTTGGCCTTGACTAGCGCGGCCTTCGCCTCAGAAACCCCTGACGCGATCCGGTCGTGGAACTCGTTTACAGCCTCCAACCTAGAACGTGCAGCGTGGGGCTCAAAGCCCATCCGTGGAAGGCGACCAGTGTCCGTCATGAACGGTACCTGCTGCGTGGAGGAGTGCATGTGGTTGTTGTACGCAAACTCCGCTGCAGGCAGCAGCTCATCCCAGTCGTCCTGCTTGTGATTGGTGAAGAGCCTGACGTACTGCTCGAGTTCCTGGTTAACGCGCTCCGTTTGGCCGTCGGTCTGCGGATGGTAGGCCGTAGAGGTGGCTGGAGTAACCCCAACAAGGCGCCAAAGCTCGCGCGTGAACTCTGCGATGAACTGGGTGCCACGATCCGAGATGTACTTCTCCGGCAGGCCATGGTGGCGCCAGACATTCTGGTAGTACAGACGAGCAGCACCGACTGTGTCAATGGTGGTGTGACACTCCATGAAGTGCGCTCTCTTCCCAAGGGCACAGACAACGACCATGACTGCATCGTATCCATGGGCCTCGGGAAGCTCGACGATAAAGTCGACTGAGACAGTGTGCCAGCGCTCTTCCGGGACCTCGGTGGGGTGGAGCTCACCAATTGGAAGTCGACGAAGGGCCTTGGTGCGACAGCACAAGTCACAAGTTGCGACATACCGACACCGACGTGGCGAGACAGTTGGGGCCACCAGTAGTTCCGAGACACGAGCTCCAGGGTCTTGAAACGACTGGCATGTCCTGCAACGCGCGTTCATGTCATGTGAGATGCTCTAACCCAAAGGTATCCAACTGAGCTATTCTGCCGATAGTGTGAACGGGACTAAACCCCAGACTTCAGCACTCCCCCGGAACCGAAGCACTATTGGCTTCCAGAACTCACAAAGGGGGGCACCATTAATCCCACAAGGCACTCCAGAAAACTCACGAGGAGAATTACATCTGGTAGTTGCTGCTACCATGTTGGGAAAATGGCTGAAGCAGGATTCGAACCTGCGACGCCAGCGCTCTTCCGGGACCTCGGTGGGGTGGAGCTCACCAATTGGAAGTCGACGAAGGGCCTTGGTGCGACAGCACAAGTCACAAGTTGCGACATACCGACACCGACGTGGCGAGACAGTTGGGGCCACCAGTAGTTCCGAGACACGAGCTCCAGGGTCTTGAAACGACTGGCATGTCCTGCAACGCGCGTTCATGTCATGTGAGATGCTCTAACCCAAAGGTATCCAACTGAGCTATTCTGCCGATAGTGTGAACGGGACTAAACCCCAGACTTCAGCACTCCCCCGGAACCGAAGCACTATTGGCTTCCAGAACTCACAAAGGGGGGCACCATTAATCCCACAAGGCACTCCAGAAAACTCACGAGGAGAATTACATCTGGTAGTTGCTGCTACCATGTTGGGAAAATGGCTGAAGCAGGATTCGAACCTGCGACGCCAGCGCTCTTCCGGGACCTCGGTGGGGTGGAGCTCACCAATTGGAAGTCGACGAAGGGCCTTGGTGCGACAGCACAAGTCACAAGTTGCGACATACCGACACCGACGTGGCGAGACAGTTGGGGCCACCAGTAGTTCCGAGACACGAGCTCCAGGGTCTTGAAACGACTGGCATGTCCTGCAACGCGCGTTCATGTCATGTGAGATGCTCTAACCCAAAGGTATCCAACTGAGCTATTCTGCCGATAGTGCGAACGGGACTAAACCCCAGACTTCAACACGACAATCTTCCCCCGGAAGTAAAGGAGTCCACCTTCAACACCCTGAAACGCTGCACTTGAATATATCGATATGAGATGCAAAGTGCGCAATGGACTAATCCACTACAAAACACACAAACAACTCAACCAACACACACAACACTCCAACACTTATATATGTCTCAACAAGATACACCAAGTGCTTCCTATTGAGTTCGTGGGGTCCAATCCGAAATCCAGATGTAGTTCAACTTCGTCTACTGGTCTGAACTGACGCAAAACAGGTTCTTTACTGACTATAGTTTAGAGGAAATCCGTCCGCGGACTTTCCAATGAACAAGGTATATCGGTTTTTAGGATACAAGACTGGGAGGAACTCCAACAGTCAGGGCGAATTGAATATATTAGACACCAGCCAATTGCTAGAAATGCCTCGTACACACACTTCTTACAGTGCCACTGCGACTGTAGACCTGAACTTCCAAGCTCTCAGGTACGTTTGACACTCCTTTATATAGCACAAGCTCCAAGGCACTAATCGTATCCCGTCAGGTTACGTGCAGGCAAGTCTGAACACGATGCGTCCGCGGATAGATCGTCTACTCTCTTCAACTTGGGGAGATACTAGATCACTCTTAAGCACACTTTCACTTCAACTGATTCTGAGTAGTCCGCGGGTTAAGTGGACCAGTCAAACGCAACGCTGGTAAATGGGGGCGAGCAATGCTCAAACGGGCCAAGTCCTTGGAAGGTTACTGGGTTGGCTATGCCACGACAAAACTCCACAGTCCAAAGTTTCCGCGGGTGAACGCTTCTAGAAACTTAAGTCTTAATTCACACTTGTCTGAACTTCAACAAATCGTTCCTAATGAAGACAAAAACTAGCAAGCAGATAACTCCAATTTAAATGCCTCTACGTCCCTGCCTGAGTACACCAACGCCGTCAATGACCTGCGCGCGATGAACTAGACAAACGACGAGAAATACATGGTCTTTTATACTAATGCCAAGAAAATACATGATGTAAACAAATCTGAGTCAAGATACAGAAACAATTGAGTTGGGATTGGGTATACGTAGGTCTAGCAGCCGTCTGCCGCTCTGAATCGTCACGATCCGTCCATGAAAAGTCATCTATTCTGACCATCTCACGGTTGAATCACTATCTTGGTCATCCGCGGATGTGTATCACTGTTCCGCTCCGACGTGTCTCCCCGGCATCCATGTAGATCCTCTAAATCATATGGTTGCTCCACTCCGTCTAGACCTTTCTAGATCTCTAGTTCTGTTTCCAGACCATCAGATCACCGTCTAAGACATTCCTATGCTTCAGTGTCAAACTATCTCATCAGCGGCATACAGGAAAGTGCTTCCGTGATGTACATGCCGAGTCCGCGGAGTATTCTCCGTGACATGATGGATGTCCGCAATCACTGTTCCAGATCTGAGGCATTACCCTGCCGTTGATCCAACGTCCGGCACCCTTATGTTCAAGGTACATTGGTGCGGCAACTTGTCTGTAAGTCTTCGGCAGGTCCGCGGCGTCTATGTATCTCATAGACCTTTCGTTTGGATACTCCGCGGGCCTTCCTCCGACATTCCGTCTTGCTTTACTACAAGTCCAGACTGCACTTCAACTCAGTCTTCATCTGTTACTCTTGCAACACTCAAAACCTTGGGTTACTCCTTGTGCCGCGGGCCTCTATGATTATCTCCAGTAACGTTACGACCAGCAGCTCGGAGCTCACTCTGATCCTCCTTCAAGTCACCATAAACAGGAGTACTGACTTCCTATTGATAGTCGAGTAAAGCTCTTAGTGCCATGCAGCTAATATGGGTATTTGTGCCACAAGTTACTACAAAAGCTAGATAAATACGCGCAAAATTGACCACGCGTATCATCTCCCCTTCACTAAATCTAGACCGTCCTCGGTCTACCATTTGTAGCCCTCAGTGTACTAGATATTGAGTGGTCCGCGGACTGACTGCGTCCAGCTAGACGTTCTAATTTTATAGCGCCTACACACATGCACACTTTTTCACCGTCTACTGGTTTTGAATCTGCAAGCAGAATTCAACCAAGTCCGTTGGTCTCAACTTGCGCTCAGCAAAATCTATTTTTAGACAATTGCCTCCGCGGACGTCGATCATTACGTAATTGACACTTTCTGTCTGACTTTTATCAGGACAGGGGTGTACACTCTGTCTGCACTCCTCCGCTCATTTCTCGGTAGAGTCCCAATTTTTCTTTGGCTAACCCTAACCCTACGCTTGCGATTACTCGCTTGGACCACTCGCTGACCCTCAAAACCCTCAACCCTAGGTCTGGGCCTCCATTTAATCGGTTTTTACCGACGCAATATAATTGATTTCTTCTATCAAAAACAAAGTTTTTCAAGGTTCACTGCGGAGAACCTCTTCTAAACCTTGCTAAAAATAGCGGGCTTCTAGGTTCCCTTATCGAGACTCCGATAAGATCTCAATATATTCGTGGCCGCGGCGTCCAGGACTTCCAGGAAATTTTCCTAAGTCCGCTTCGTCATATATACCTGCGGGGTGCTCCTTGGCGCCCACTTTCTCTTTCCCTCTTACTACCACCACCCACATTTAGTGCTTTGCACTGTGTGGCCTTCCTGCTTTTTGGTTTCCTGCGCTTCCAATTGTCCGACGCGTACGTCGTTCAACCTTCGACGCTCATCACTGCTCTCCCTGGCGCTCGTCGTCGGTGGAGATGCCGCCGTCGTCTCCCAAGAAGACCGTTCGCAATCGTCCCGGACCTCCCCCGCCATATTCGTCTCCCGCACCCCAAGCGCCGCCACCAGCGCCGCCCCCAGCGCCGCCCCCAGCGCCGCCGCCAGCTCCAGTCCCGGTTGATACTCGCATGAATCCTCTATTGTCACCGGCTGGTCTGCGCTTGACTGCTATGCCTTCGTCGTTAGCTGCCTCCGATCCCCGTGCTCCTTTCTGGGCACCATTTGACAACAAACGCTCTCGTGCTTTCCTCGAACTCGAGTACCTGGACCCGGAGCCCTCTCTCGAAATTCAGCTGAAGCGAGCCAAAAAGTTTGCTCCCATCTTGGTATGTTTCCTTCTGTTCTCTTTTCCATATTTTGATTAACAATGTTGTATTTCTACAGCAAGGTTACCGTGAACGCGAAGAAATCCCCGACGAGGTCGAACTCTTTCTTTGGACAACCGCTCGCCTCCTCAAGTGCCTTCACGAAGGGCTCGTCTCCTCCAAAATGGAAGCTCCTGAGCTCCTCCTCGACGCTTATCGTGCCGGCCGCCCCGCCCTCGCCTTCCGTAAGAAGTACAATATCGACCAAGGCGCGGACATCGTTTCGCCGGATTTTCGCCTTCCTCAAATTCTCAAAGCGCCCGCTCGTGCTAAATTCGTCGCGGACTCCGATGTTGAAGCTGACCCAGGCGCGTCAGTTTCCGTCGTCGAGTCAACCCTGCCCCAGAAACGTCGTCGTGTTGAGGTGGCTTCCCCTCCGCGCGTCGTGTCTGCTGCACCGGATCCTCGCGTCATCGAGGTGTCGTCCCGTGGTGAAGTCACCGCTGCCTTGTACTCAATTCCCGAGGCGGGCGCGCCGACTCCCGCGCTGATGCGCATCCCGCATCATTACGTCACGGACGCTCTTAATCCGCCGTTGTACATGTGAAAAGTAGGAGGAGAGGGAAGGGGAGAGACCAGTATGCTGGCTCGACTCAGACACAGATGGACGCAGCGGACAAGAAGCGACGAGTATATTGATACGTGATAGTACATCAATACCAAAGCACGCCGAAACAAACTACGTATTCTCACACTCCCACCTGATGAGACGTGCGAGACGAGGAAGAGCAAAAGGCGAAAAACAACTCCCACCGGAACCAAAGTCCATCAAATCCGAAGCGGGATCTGAACATTTCCACCATCTTCATCGTCACTGTATGCATCACCCCACATATGCACCTCCACCTCAGGAGCGTGCGCATGCGCCGCAGACTCAGTGCGGTTCCGAGGGGCGTTCCCCATGACCCAATCCTTGATGTGCTGGGGCATGTCGTGGATGCAGCGCGCAGCAATATGACCCGAGCGACCGCAACGATGACAATGGCTCTCGTTAGTGGGGTCGCACCAACGGTAACCGTGATCGTCAACACCGTCTCGACTAGCCGAACCAGATCCTCCACCGCCACCACCTCTCCTCCCACCCGAACCGATGCTCAAATGACGTGCCGCCATCGCAAGATTCAGGTCATCATCCTCCTTAACGGGGGGTTTGACCCTAGCACTACGTAGAGTTGCAACAACGTCTTTGAGCGTCAGTTTGTGGGGTGTGGCAGTGATGGCAGTACGGACGGTGTCCCAGGAAGAATGGAGGTTGAGAAGCAAGACGTCAATGGTCTCTGTGTCGCTGGGATTACGATCCAAGCCTTCAAGAGCTTTGCGCGCGCGGTTCACCTTGCTGATGAAGATGTCGATGGGAGCGTGGGGGTCGTGTTGCGCTTTTTGGAAATTGGCGGTGGCAATGAGACGGCTACCCACATTGGATTCTTG